TGCTGTTGGGAAGTATTTTCTATGTTTGGTAGGATTTGGCATTTGAAGATTCATTCTCTAAGTTTGATAATAAACTTTTTGTGGTTCTGGATCCAGGTCCTCGAGACTCCTGGCATTAACCTCCATGGACGGCATGGTGGCTCAGTGGTTAGCACTGTTGTCTCACAGCACCAGAAACCTGGGTTCAATTCCAGTCTTGAGTGACTGTCAGTGTGAAGTTTCATGTTCTTGTGTCTGTGTGGGTTTCCTCCAGGTACTCTGCTTTCCTCCCATAGTCCAAAGATATGCAGGTTAGGTGGGTTGGCCATGCTAAATTGTCTGTAGTGTCTAGGGAATGTGCAAGCTGGATGGATTAGCCATGGGTAATGTGGGGTTACGGGGATAGGGTAGAGGTCTGGGTGGGATGCTCTTCGGAGGGTTGGTGCAGAATCAATGGGCCAAATGGCCCTTACCCACACTTTAGTGATTCTATCATATTTGCTCTCACTCCTTCTGAGCTATAGTTCAGAGGGTCTCCTGCACTCTTCACTGACCTGCCCCCACCTCCTCAACTATTTTCCTTTGTATTAGAACAGCATCCACAAGTCTTAGAACCTGTTATTTGGCTGGATCCTGTGGGATCCATCACCTCGAGATCTTTGGCCAAGAGTATTTCAGCAGACAGAACAGGGATGGGCCCTGAAACTGCTCAACCTCAAGGGATCTTAGCAGCCTGTTTCAACCTTGGTTGATGTCCAGCAGTTTCTTCACATAGGAGCAGTCGATGAAGGAAGAGAAGAGAGTTGTAGGTCATCTATAATGTTACAAGATGTTTGATAAAATATTATTTTATTAAGTTTCCTTTCATTTATCAAATTGTATAGAGTTTATTATTTGCATCACTTTTCTGTGTTGGTTATTATGGACTCATGAATTGAAGGGGAGACAACTGTTGAACATGCACATGATTAGATGGTTGATTGTAGAGCTGAACTGTATCAGTTCAGTGGTGTGGGGAATATTAGGCCAACAAATGGGATGATTAATTTGCTGCAGTGGCTAACAGAACCCTTGTGCGCTATTAGAAATTTCCTAGCAGCCTAACTACCAATATGAGTGGTTAGTGTGGCATTGAAGGCCCCATCTTCATTTTTCTCCTCCTTTCATCAGATATTGTGTGATCAGCAATTTATTTGTCCTCCACCCTTTCACTTGCTGCTGTGTTATATTGTACAGCACTTAGTTGTATGTTTTGAGTTGACAATCATTACCAGCTTGTGTTGAGGGAGATTGTTGTCACAAAGTGAATTTTAACAAGAAGAGACTCCTGTCTTAAACACAACGTAATTTTTTTATTCAGTCACGGATATCTGACTGGCCAGAATTTTTATTGCCTGTCCCTAATTGTTCTTGAGAAATTGGTGATGAGCTGCCTTCTTGAATCACTGAGTTTATGTGTTCCAGGTAGACCCACAATGTCCTTAGAAAGGGAATTCTAGAGCTTTACTTCAGTGACAGTGAAAGGACAACAATATATTTCCAACTCAGGGTGGTGAGTGGCTTGGAGGGAAACTTTCAAGTCGTGGTGTTCCCATGTATCTGCTGCCCTTGACCTTCTAGATGGAAGCAGTCATAGGTTTGGAAGGTACTGCCTAAGGATCGTTGGTGAATTTCTGCAGTGCATCTTGTAGATAGTACACACTGCTGCTAGTGAGTGTTGGTGGTGGAGGGAGTGAATGTTTGTGGATGTGGTACTGATCAAGTGGTCTGCTTTGACCTGGATGGTGTTAAGCTTCTTGAGTGCATGTTAGCAAATAGATATGTTACATTAATAGTATTAATATCGCTACTAAGAATACAAAGATACCTAGGAGATAGATCTTCACGTCTCAAGATCCTAAGCTGTCAATTGGAAAGTTAATATTTTCAGGGATCCTTTGTGACTTGGTAAAGTTTGAAAGCCACTTTTCTAAGTGGATATAAATTAATGCTTTATCTTCAGAGAAATGGCCTGAACAAAGTCTGTCCAGGGGCTCCTCAAATTCTTTAATACCAATAACCTCTGGTGGAAGAGTAAATGTTCACTTAATGAGAGTATAGTTACCGAGTCTGAACATGTGAGTGGCCCACAGTAGATATAAATCTCACCTACACCATAGAGTGTTGAACATAAGCAATGAAGTGTACCTTGACATAAAGCTTATATGTATTACAATAAAAATTACCATAACATTAATTGTCTCACTATGTTGAGTGAACTGAAATGAGAATTCTTGTGCATACATTCATCCATCATGGGTGATCTCATATTTCTGCCCGAGAAAATTTGAAGTGCAGACACAGGATTGATCATCTCTTCACATGTAAGCATTGCCCTTCACCATTTCTGTTGACTATTACCTCTCATTGTCACTTAACATTTTATTACAACATTGCTTATTTGTCAGGACTGTGTTACCAGTTTCCTTGACAGACCTCCTTTTACTAAGTACTGCTTTGATAGTTAGCCAACTGCATGTGTGTGGACAATGCAATCTGGAAGCTAATGGGAAATTAGTCAGCATAGTGATTCCTGTTATCTGAAGAAGCGTCATGTGCACACTTCTAAGACTCATCCTGCCAAACTCTTCAACAGTAAACTGATAGTTTGGAAAACAACTGCCATTAATTGCTGGATCACAGCTTTTTGGAAACACTTGACAACTACCATTCCACTAGTCTTTCATGAGTTCCTCATCACCTTTTCTTGAAAAAAAATCTTGAAATTAGTTTAAACCTAATAATATGTGTATGGCAGACCATTTTTTTTGAGAAGAAAGTAATTCAGGTGATACTGATTTTAATGTGGTTGTTGAATTACTTACCTCTCATTTGCAATACAAGTTGCATGGAAATATTGGAAATATTATAAATATTAAACCTGGAAAAAATCCTACAATGTAAATTTTCTGGTTCTGTGCTGATGATCTTTTTGTTCCCGGTTTTGAGAAGAATAGATGTAGTCAGGTTGCTGCAGAATGATCAAAGTTGTTGAACTGTGCCATATCACCTCCCTTCATGGAAAATCATATGAAGAGAAACATCATAAATTCATCAGGAAGTGGTCAGCATTTAAAGTCTTCAAGGCTCTGAAGGAAAAGAATGTCAAAGTTTGTGTCACATGCTTCCCAAGCAGACTATTAAAGTTATTTGGCAGAATACCTCATCACCAAAACTTACAAACCATGACACAATTTGGCTGGTGCCCTCTCCATCAGATCTTTCTTATACATCTGGACTCTCAAGCCCTCCGTATGTTACTGTCAAAATGGTTGTGGCGGGGAAGAAACTGTTGTACATCTCCTTGAGGAACTTTCCTTTTTGAAGAAGATTTGAAGAGTTATGGAATGTTTTTTGTTGAAGTTCTTCCCAAGTAGCTCCATGAACCAGGACCTTTTGCTTTACATGTTGTTCCCAGAGAAACACACATACAGATCAGCCGTATCTGAAGGAACATCAACTGGTGAAAGACTCATGTTGGTCTGCCCATAACCTGTGGGTTTTCCTGTAGCAGAGGTGCATTGGAGAAATGTTGCTGTTTAAGGCCTTTCATTCATAATGCACTGAGGGCTAGAAACTGTTTAGTAATCCTCAGGTTGCATATCTGGCTAAGAATGTACCTCGTGATTATCAAAAATATTGAAATTGTATTGCTGGACCTCAGAGAGGTACATATTGTATGAAGAAAAGTTGAATTTTATTGCATTTTCTCTAATTTTCAAGTTCAAAAAATGTTTTTCAATGTACTTTTACAAATTTTATAAACAAAGGACATTTTGGGGAAAAAAAATGGACAAGTTTTCTTATTCCTGAATGCGGGGAACCGTTCTGAAGAAAGGTCATGAAATGTTAACTCTGCTTTCTCTCCACAGAAATTGCCAGACCTGCTGAGTTTTCCAGCATTTTCTGTTTTTGTTTCTTTAACTCCATCCTTCACAGCATGGTGGGAGTACCTTTTCCACATGGATGACAATGATTCTCAAAAACAGCTGAATATACTTTCTCAACTGGAACTAAGATGGGCAATAAATGTTACCCTTGCTAGGGACAAACATATTTTTACAGTAAAGATGCTACCAGATTGGCTGAGTTTTTCCAGCAATTTCTGTTTTTATTTTTGATTTCCAGTACCTGCAGTTAGTTGTGCTTTTTTTCGTTTTTTGACAGTGTTCTTTTATCAAATTATCTAATGTGCATCTACTATAATGTTTTCTTAATTTCTCATAATACTTTCAGACGCAGCCAAGTGTACTAGCATTTTACTTGTTCAAACGTGGTTCGGTTATCAATAAATTAATTGATTAAGTGACTATTAATCATCACTTATAAATGTAGTTATATTGCTTTTAACTCTTAAGTTCAAACATTTTAAGTTTAGCTTTTTGACAAGTATGAGGCAAAGGAATAATTGACTATATCTGTCATTTTGCTTACATTACCTATAGGTTTACTGAATGTATCATTTCTTGGCCACTTCCCTACAGAAATCAGTTCCCTACTGATTTCTGAATTTTCATTTTTTTCTGCAGAATATAGTTTCCCCTTTCCCGCTAAAGTCTTGGACTTCTAAAAAATTAACATCATGTATTTTGATAATATATTGTAAAACATACAGGGTTGAGTTTTAATATAACAAAGTATACATTAAATGATACGAGTAAAGAGAAAGGGAATGGGTCTAAATGGTTAGTTCTTTCACAGATACAATGGATAGAATAGTGTCCTATGTTGGAGCCTGTTTGATTTTTGATATTCGCGTGGAGAGTTACATATTTAAACACATTTATCTTTATCTATATGACAATTATATACATACAAATGTTTATAATCTCTTTAGGTGTGTGCATTTGGCTTGATCACAGTAAAAACATTTATAATTAATATGGATGTGAGCATTATTTGTAATCTATATGGATATGAGCATTTGTCCTAGGTAACCTGGCAGAACTGTCTGATTTTCAGCCCTTTCAGACTGGAGTGCGCACGCGCAGTTACTGCCGCTCGGAGGCCATGTTTGGCTCAAGTGTTGGGTTGTGATTTTTTTTAGGGTTCCGGGAAGAAGCTGTTGTTGTTGTGGGGAGGACAGGATTTGTTGGTTTGTGGGGCCCGTTCGTTGGAGGCTTTCTCCTCACTCCGTGCTGTTTTGGCTATGTGTGCTGAATGTAAGAGGGGTGGGGATGATTGAGAGGCGCTTCCACCTCCCGCAGGAAGGTCCCGCCGACCCCCCGCACTTATTCTAGTTGTTTCTGTCCGGAGCCACCATGTCTTCCCACTCTCAGGGAAGCTTCGACCTATCTCGGAGGAACCCGCAGGAGGACTTCGAGTTGATCCAGAGGATCGGGAGCGGCACCTACGGCGATGTTTACAAGGTTTGTGCACTTCGTTCGAGCCCCAGGACATACTAGGCCCGAGCGGGTAGAATGGCCTCTTGTGGGAGTGGGGTATCAGGGCAGGGCAGGGTTTCAGACTCTTAAACCCGTCAGGGCAGAGGCCTATCACCGTGTCTGAACTGACGGGATGGCCCTTCTTCCTGCTGTGAGGTGGGGGCGAGCTGATTTGTTTATCTGGCGGTGGCTTGCAGCTGCAAGGAGCGATGTGCGCCTTAGTGCGACTGCGTTGGTGTCTCTGTTTAATAATTTAATGTATTTACGTACATAAGGCCTCAAATTGCTTAAAACTCGCTCCTTTGTGGCCTCTGCCACTGTTGTGCGGGAATTTCAGGCCGGATCCGGTTAATATCATGGCTACTGGGTTAGTAACAATGTGCGAGTTAAAATCCCACAAAAGATACACTGAAATATTATTCCGTTTTGTTTTAAAAACCTGGAAATAGTGAAGTCGGTGTACAGCCAATATGAAAATCAATAAATTTATTGTCAAAATCCGAGTGACGCCCTTGGGGAAGAAAATCTTTTGTTCCCACCCAGGTCTGGCTTGTGTAAGAGAAATTTTTAACAGGAGATTTGATGAGACGTTTGCAAAACATGGGTCTGGTTAGAAAAGGTAGGGACAAAACTGTTCTCGTTGACGGTGGGTTGACATCCAGCGGACATTGATTTATGGTGACTGGAAAGAAGCGATTGTGATATAAAGAAAAACTTTTCATGCAGGAGTGTTTGGGATCTGGTACGTATACTCCCAACTGAACACGTGGTGGAGGCAGATTCATTCAGGGCCTTCAGAAGAGAATTGGAAAATCAACTGAGGTGGGGGGGAAAAAAAGTGAAGCACAATGAAGAAGTGTGGGAAAGGGACTGTAAATTGTTCTTCCAGACAGCTGGCATGAGCACACTGAGGCAAGTGGTCTTTTGGCCTGTTGTGACCAGCCTCTGAATGTATTCTGTGGTATAGCACTCCAATCCTTCACCAATTTGTCAGCTGTTAATTACAGTAGTGATCTAGCTGGCCATTGGCAAGGCAACTAGAACTGGGCAATAAATGCTGGCCGTGCTGAGATGCTCTCACTCTGTGAATAAAGGTATGAAAAATTCCCATGAAACGTTGATGTGTGAGTTGTGCTATTGTGTCATTTGCTGGAACTCAAGTTATTCCAAAGATAATCATGTTGGAAATGTTCAAATAATATCTTTACTCCATTCCTGACCCTTAAAATCAATGACAGTGTTAAATTTGCTGTGTAATTTGACTGATAGCCACTTAAACAATACACAACAGTGCTAGAGGGCTTAAAACTAGTCAAGTTTTCAGGCTACCCGATTAGCTCTGTGAACTTCATTGGAATCTTTAACTTCAGTTAAGTAATCAAATGTTCTGACAGCCAGGCGAGTTTCTTGTTGATATTTTAGTTCATGAAACAACAGTAAATGTATGAGCCTATTAATATTAATTTTATATATTTTATGTGATACTATGGTTTCAATACAAATTCACCAGTTTATTTAAGATGGCTTGAAAATTTTGTTTGTAATGCAACAGATCATGCCTGTTGTCCCTAATGGGTTTCTATTAAATAATCAGTTATGCACAGTGTTGGGAAGGTACCTAGAATTTTTATCACATGTTGGTCCCGTCTTGCTTTCTATCCTTCTCCACGCTTACTACATTACGTTCTGATGTTACCAAGTGAATTTGCCACTGGAAGGTTGGCAGGACTACAGTTTTGTTATTGCAGCAGATTTCAGTTTCTTATTCTTGGTGCTGAAGAATGTAGATACTCTGCATCATTAATGCAGGAAATTAGACATATGGTGTAAGTTTGTTTGTTTGGCAAAATCTTTTCCCTTTTGCATGCACTTTGACATTTTGGGGTGTTAGATTTCGCTGTCACTGTTTAGCTGCTAGCCTAACTTTGGATTGGTCTGCCCTTTGTTTAAAAAAAAGACTTGACCATTTTGTGAATTTTTTTTGCTGCTTTAACTGCGGTTCATTTGGAAAATGTTCATAGGTGTTTAAGCTTTTGTAGAGGCATCCACTTCAATTAGGACCTAAGCTAGATACCATAATGGTCTTTAAAAGATTCTTGTGGTTTTATTCTGTTTTGCTTTGAGTAGAAATTTATTAGATAGTGCAGAGACTTGGTGGCATAATCTTAAAATGAGTTTAAATATACAACTGGTTGTTCATTATTTCTTCCTATTTTAAGTATCAGATTCAGACAGTGGCATTAAGTAGCTTTTTTGAATAATTGTCTTTCTGCAAATTACATTTTACTTTTTTGCTAGTCACAATTAAAGATGACAGGAGAGATAAACTAGGGTGTTTATTGGCCTGTAATTTAACATCAATGGTAAGAACTTAGAATCTATTCTTCTGGATAGAGTGACTAAGCATTTAGCAAACATTGGTTGATCAGAGATCCAGCAAGTCTTTGTAAATGCAAGTTGTGCATCTAATTGAATTTTTTAAGGAGATGAATGAGATGGTAGATAAGGGAATGTTTGTAGATGTTCGTACGGATCTCTAAAAAGCATTTGATAAAGCTTGTGCATAAGAGATAGTTAATAGAAATGAGTATGCATAAAGTGGAATCAATCTCTTGGATGGAATGAAGGAGAGAAACGGAAATTCCATTGAAGAAAAGAGCAAAACTCAAATTAACCAATCATTAATCTTTGGTATTTTGTGCAATCAGATGAAGAAATGAAATGTAGTAGAGAAAATCCTTGTTTAGGAGAATAATGCATACTTTTGCATAGTGTAACTATGCATTTCGTGAAGGGGTTCTTATCCCTGTCTGTGATCCAGAAGGCCCAGATTCCAGTCCCACCTGCTTGAGAGGTGTACCACAACATGTCTGAACAGGTTGACAAAATATATGTACATCCACAGAGATTGTAGGAACTGCTGATGCTGGAGTCTGAGATAACAAGGTGTGGAGCTGGAGGAACACAGCAGGCCAGGCAGCATCAGAGGAGCAGGAAAGCTGATGTTTTGGGTCTGGGCCCTTCTTCAGAAATGTACATCCACAGACCACTTACCCGCCTTGCCTTTAGATTCAAAACAGATACAAATCTTTAAACTATTTATAGAGCAATGCAATGTTGATCTTCATGAAACATGTAGACTTACAGAAGTATTGTTTCCCAGGGTGGTAACAATATTCAGTAACTCACCCAAGTGACAATGCCTGATGCCTAAGACTGAGCACTGTGTGCTGGCAAGCTATTTGAGTTATGAAAACCAAGCCTAGTTTTTAATCTGGGTTTCATAAATCTGTATTGATCTACAGGGGTTTGGATAAGAATCAGGAACCTGATCTTTGCTTGATTTATTTTAGTTGCTTCTTTATTTGCTTATTTGCTTTGTTATTCCAGGGATTTGGGGGAAACCATAGTTCCAGCTAAATTCAGTTAATATGACAAAGTTGTGACATTCTGGGATAAAAGCTTAGTTTTGCACATGGCAGTGACTCATTGAGCCTGCTCAGTCATGTTGTTTTCGAAGGGTGTGGATTTCTAGATGATACTGGAGAATCTAATTTATTCACTTTTGGCATATAACTAAAAGGAAATAAAAAGCTAGGACAGGTATTTCAATTTAAGTGAGTATAGGTAAATATTCTTACCTTGCATTGAACAATATGGATAATGGAAGAGATTAGCATAGACTACCAGTCAAGAAGATACTTTGAGTACTAGTTGAGGAAAGAGGCAAAATTACTTTGTAGATAAAATCCTAATAGTCAATTAAGTATGAGCCTATTGGTGAATGTTGACAGGTAGTACTAACTTAAGAATCGTAAATAAAGACCAGTTCTGATCTCCATGAGGTCTGTGTACTAACATCTCCATCTAAAATGTAAAACTTTTTGATCTGCTCCTTGATATATCAGTCCACACATCTTCCAAAGTGCAGTCTTGAATTTTCTTAAAAATAAAACAATTATTTAGAGTAGTGGGACAGTTTTTTTAAGTTCACTTCAGTCAAATTTAATATAACACTTGAAATCTTCAGATTAACCAAAGCTAGTGAAGTAACTGTCAGTAGCATTGACAATAACATTTGCACACTTGGAGCAAAATTGCTACCCTCCTGTGTCATACCTGAGCTTCCATTTTTAAACATTTTTTTCCTCTGGTTTTAATAGATTTGTGTTTTAGCTCATCCCTATTATCTCTGAGAAGTCAATAATGTATCTTGAAATGCTGCAATCCTTATGCTAATGGGGTTTCCATTGATTGTGTTGAAGAAACAGCAAAAGATATCCAAGTCAGGATGGTGTGCAAATTGGAGTAGTGCATTGAGGCATTGGAATTTTCGTGATCTTAACTGCTATTGTTTTGTCAGTGGTAGGTGTCAGAGTGATTCTGTTGATATACTACTGTTGTACATTCTTTGATTATGCATGCTGCTGTTAGTGCGTTGGTGGGGTAAGTGTGGCAGTTAAGGCCTGTAGTCCGGGCACCAATCAAGTAAGTTGCTTTATACTGGATGGGGTTAGAGCTGCTTGTATACTGTCAGAAAGCAGTCATTTGATTGGCATCCCAAATAGCATTTTAAAAATTCAGACCATCCACCACTGATACACAGTGGCAGCAGTATACACCATACACAAGGTATTTTGCAGAAGTGTGCTAAGCTTTCTTTGAGAGCATCTAATGAATATACGCATTTATGGAGTAGGAGCAGAAGTAGACCATTCAGCCCTTTGTGCCTGCTCCACCATTCAGTATGATCACGGTTGATCTTTGTTTTGAATTCCACATTCCCATCTACCCCAATTAACCCTTGAATTTCCTCTGCCTAACAAGAACCTATCCACCTCTGTATTAAAAATATTTGGTCAGTAGTCCGAAAGCTTGTAATTTCAAATAAATCTATTGAAATATAATCTGATTTTGTGTGACTTCTAACTTTGTCCACCCCAGTCCAACACTGGCACCTCCACATCTTAAAAATAATCTGTAAC